GCTGAGGCCAGTGTGAGTTTGGTGTTTGTTCTAAGAGCAGGGGAAGTCATAAGCCTCTATGAGTAGAGGGGGATAGAGCCAACTCGCAATTTGAAAAGCTGTTAGCTAGGATCCTGGACTCAGAAAAGGGGCTGTCTCCCTCCTGACCAATGCCTGCCTCTTCCTGGCTGGGAAAATTGGGCCTTCATTACCTCCAAGTGGAGGCAAGGGGATCTCAGGCCTCTGGGAAAGTCACTGGCTTCTTTCCAGAAAGGGCTCATTCCCCCCTCTCACAATTTCACTCACCATTCTAGGGCCCCCCAGGGCCCCCAGTAGCCCACCCAGGACCCCGCTGAATTGCTGGGACCCTGCTGACACCCAGGCTTAGTGTCCTCCTCCCTCTCGACACCACAACTTCAGACCGAGGCTATCTTTGAAATGCCCGTGGCCAGCTGTGGCCTGGCCACACCCACAGGCCAGCAGGCCGCGGCTGCCCGGCAGACTGCAATCACGGCAAGTGGCTGAGTGGCTGTGCCCATGACAACAGTCCTCTGAGGGGCAGGGCCCCTCTCCACCTGGCCTCAGGTTTCTGCCCCAGGGAGGATTCCAGAGGAGCCTCATTGAAGGTCCCTGGCAGGGCAGGGCCTCTGTCTCTGGGCCAAAGTCGGCCACTGGCAGGACTCGGGTAGACAAACCAGCTGATTGTCTCCAGCCGCTTTCTGTCCTGTCTCCATGGCTTCTTGGTAAAGGTGGGAAGATGTGATTTCCGGGGCATTGCTGTCCCTTGGGGCAGGAAGACCCTCAGACCCCAGGCCCTTGTGACTGCGACCCTGGGCAGGTTCCTTCCCCTCTCTGAGTGTACGTCTCCTGTGGCTGGAATGAATACTTGAGGATAAGTCTCCCTGCATAGAATCCCCCCGCCCACTCCAGATCTCATCCAGGGGCTGCCAGCAGGGCTCCCCGAGTCACAGGTGAGGGGACCGAGGCACACGGGCAGTGCGAGGTGGCTGCTGTAGGGGCTGGAGGGTGCCACTGAGCTCAGACGGGCCTGGGTTCAAATCCTGACTCTACCACCAGCAGGCACCTCAGGCAAAGGGCTTTCACCACACGGAAGCTCAGTTTGCCCATCTGCAAAAAGGGCTGGAGAAAACCCACCCCTCTGAGAGCTGTGGGGAGGAGGGGCTCAGAGGCCCAGCACCCAGCCTGGCATGGTGGTGTTGGCTGCATCTGCGGCTCAGAGACCCACCCCAGGCCCCTGGGAACATGGACACCATTCTGGGCCTAAGCCGAGTTCTGGAGCTGTGAGGCCCCCGGCCGGGCTGAGGGAGTGCCTGTAGAAAAGAAAGAGGCAAGAGGGCAGAGGCAAAATACTGCCTGGGCGTCTGGGGGAGAGCCGGGCCCGGGCGCCTGCTGCCCCCTGGACTCAGGGGTTCCCATCTGTGAGATGGAGATGATGCAAGGGAACCCCAGCACCAACCCCACAAAACGACCGCAAAGAAAGATGTAAGGGTAGTCAGCAGCCCCATTTTTGGGTGAGGAAGTGAGGCTCAGAGAAGCAGAGTCACCTGCCCGAGGTCACACGGCTTACCCACTTATTCTCCTGACCCGAGGATATATATTTATTGATTTTAGGGAGGAAGAGGAAGGGCGGGGGAGAGAGGAACTTGGATGTGAGAGACCTCGGTCAGCCGCCTCCCTTCTGCACCTGGACCTGGGCCAGACCCGCATCCTTCTGATTCCAGAGAGGCCGTGTTCGGGTTGTTTCGTTTTGTTTTTTAAATCTTTTGTAACGGCTTTATTGAGAGAAGTGCACATGCCGTACAGTTTCCCCATTTTCCCATTCAGTAGTTTTTTTATACTCACAGATTCGTGCAACCACGGCCGCCGTTGATTCTAGAACATTTCAACACCCTAAGGAGACACGCCAAACCCTTTCATTATCACCCGTTTAAACCTCCCCACCCTCAGCCCCTGGTACCCCCTGAGCTCCTCTCTGTCCCTACGGATCTGCTTGTTCTGAACTCACAGACCTGGAGTCACACAGCTTGTGGCCTTTCATGTCTGGCTTCCCTCACTGCACGTCACGTCCTCGGGGCTCGTCCCCGTCACAGCCCATACCAGGACTTCGCCTCTTTACGGCTGAGTATTGTTCCATTTACACAGCCACCTCTGTTTCTATTTCGGGCTGTGATGCATAACGCCGATGCGAGCATTTCTTTGTTACAAGTGTCTTCTTGGAGAGGGGCCTCGGCTCGTGTGGCAACTGTGTTTAACCTCGGGAGGAACTGCCAGGTCGTTTCCAAAGAGGCTGCATGCGTCCCTTTCCGCTCGCGTTCCCCGAGCAGGGAGGGCGGGCAGGCTCTGATTCCTCCACATCCTCACCGCCACTTGTTATTGTCTGTCTTTTTGAGACCATATTCTCACCGACTGTGTTACACTCTAGAGTCTGCTGGGCTCGGGTTCAAATCCTGCCAGCTGTGGGGTCCCAGGCAAGTAGCTCGTCTTGTGTCCTTTTCTAGAAAACGGCATAAGACCCTTTCCCTTCCAGCCTGTCAAGAGATGCAGCGGGTTGGTGGCAGCATCAGGGCCGTTCCAAGTGCAAAGGGAGGTAGGTACACATGTCTTGTTTGTACGACTGAGTGACTGGAGGTGGGGTGCGGGTGGGGACAGGTGCACCAGGTGTGAAGCCCCCGACAGACTGACCCATCTGGTTCGCCGTCTCCCCAGCGCCTGGCATCGAGTCGGGCATACAGTAGGCGCTCGCTAAGTGCAGGCTCCAGGTGCTGCCCAGGAACCCCTCTTAGTGGAAACAGCCGAGTCCACTGCGACCCGCTGCAGAGGGACCTGTGCGGGCCCAAGGCCCGGGCTGCCCGTTGCCTCCGCAGGTCGGACTCTCAGCCTGTGCTGCAACTTTTTCCTTCCCCAAGAGGAAAAGTTTTCTGTCAAGAGCCTCCTGTCCTTCCAGGACGGAGTCTGGAGAAGCTTCCCCAGTGGCCAAACCGGTAAAGTGGCGGCAGCCACATCTTAGCAGTGGCCCTCGCTCACGTTTCAGGAAAACAGAGAGTGTTTGTTCGAGGGGGGCTGGGGGTTACCCCTTCTCTTCCGACTCACCCCCTCCGTGCTTTCAGTGAACCAGCACTTTTTTTTTATTGTGGTAAAATACACATATCAAAATTTGCCATCTTAAACCATGTTAAGTGTGTAGTTCAGTGGCATTAGCTGCATTCACACTGTTGTGTAAACATCGCCACCCCCTGTTCCCGTGAATGCTTTTCATTTTGCAAAACTGAAAGTCCGTACCCACCAAATAGCACCTTTCTATTCCTCACTCCCTTTGGCTCACTCAACCAGCAGTTTCAAAACACCTGCTAAGTGCCGGGACTTGATCCTGCAGCTGCGAATAAGATAGTCATGGTCCTTGCTTCTTGGAAACTGATACCCATTTTTCAGATGAGGAGACTGAGGTGCTGAGAGGGAAGGGCTCCCCCTAATCAGTGGCAGGGTGGAGTTTGAACCCAGGTGTCTGGAACAGAGGCTCTGATCCAGGCACCCGGCCCAAGACGAGCCACTTTCTCAGTTGCCCCGTCTGTGAAATGGGGGTCCGGAAGGAGTTGGGTTAAGGATGGTGAAGCTGACGAAGTTCACACCTCGTTTCCCTGGCGCGCCCCAGCCCCTTCTCCAGTCTCCTCCAGTAACTTCCTGTTAGCCCGGCTCATCCTCATCAATTTCTTTCCACTTGAGTCCTGCCTCTCTGTAGAAATGGGCCCCAGACCAGTCTGCCCATCACTCCCCTGCTTCCCAACCTGGCTGGCCGCAGCCCCAGGCTCTCCAGCAGAGAGGCCACCCATCAGGGCTCGGGAAGGCGGAGACAGGAGGGACCCTCTGTCTACATTCCTCACCACGGCCAGATAGCTAAGCTGCCTGTCGGCTCTATTTAAGATCCTGGAAGTCCAGAGGGAAACGGTTCCTTTCTCCAAGCCCTCAAGGAGGGATCAGCTTTGGGAGAGGCCACGTCCCCTCCAAGCCTCAATTTTCCATCTGTGAAGTGGGCACAGCAATCCTGACCTCACAGCTTGGTTGGGAGAAGGTTTACTTGACCCCTGCTGCTCAGTGAGTTCATCATTAAGGTTCGTTTTTCTTTCTTTCTTTTTTTTTTTTTTTTATGCGTCACACTGGTGATTTGAACATACCACTTTTGCTCTGGTTCTCTTTTTCCAAGAATTCTAAAATTCCACGGTCTTACCAATGGGGCCACCAGCTCAATGGAATAAACATAGTAGGGCTAAAAAGGACTAAAAATGTTCCTGGGGCTTCGCACAGACCTGGTGTGCGCAGCATTGTCTCCATGACTGTGAGGTGACATCTCTACAGTGGGGACACTGAGGCGCAGAGGCAAAGGGACTGGCTGCTCGGCTGGTGAGTCGCGGAGCCAGACCTGGGCTCTGGGAGTGCGACTCTGGAGGCTTCCGACCAATCTGGTGGAAGTGAGCTGCCAGATCTAGGGAGGTAATCAAGTGGCTGGGGGAGAAGATGAGTGCATGGTGGGCTCACCTTCACCATCCAATAAAAACACAGGCACTGAGCTCCTACAGGCTCCGTGCTACACGCTCGTAAAGAGGTGAAGGAAAGGAGTTCGCATTTATTGAGCCCCAGGTGACCCACACGGACCTGTCTCCGAATTGTCTGCTGAGTGAACGAACGAACGGATTCACGGGTGGGTCCATTCCCAGACGAGCGAGCCGCGCCTAGGTGGCCGAGAGAGCAGCCGGAAATCTCGGCATGCCAACCAGAGCCCTCTCCAAGAAGCGCCTGCCCCTCCACACAGGGGTTGTGATGCCCGTTTTCTGGGTGAGGAAACCGAGGCTCCTGGTCCGCCCCTCAACGCCCTCCCCTGCAGAGGAGGCAGATCCAACGCCCTCCACCACGGGCGCTGCGTGCGCCCAGGAGCCGCGGGTGGGCGGGGTGCAGGCCCGGGGGCGGTGCGCGGCCGGTAACCTGAGCCGGGGGAGGAGAGACGCCGCTGCGGGCGGGCGGGCGCCGGGCGGGCCGCGGGGGACTCAGGAAGCGCCGCGCTCCCGGCCGCCGGGCGCCGTGCGATCCGGAGGTGAGTGCTGCCTGAGCCCTCGGGGCTAGGACAGTCAAGGTCCTCTGGCGCTCCTGGGGAAGTCGCGGAGGCGCCAAAGGCTCTCCCGGGACGTGGGAAGCGCGGAGTCCCGTTGGGTTCCCTTGGGCCAGGCACGGCTTCCCGGGGTTCAGTTTTATCACCTGTGAAATGGGGCGCTGCCAGGGGCCCTGGAGGTTCCAGGTCTGGGAGAGGGAGGGCCAGGTCCTCAAGGAAGCCCCGACGCCCACCTGGGAGGGCATCGCCGTTTGGGGGTGCTTAGAAGAGGGGGTGGGTGGGGGGTGTGCTCAGTCGGCCCTGGGTCTCTGAGCAAACTGCAGGGATCTTCAAAGGGCACTCACTTTTGGTTACTGAATCCCAGAGAGATGGCTCTTCCCGGCAGGCAGAAAAATCCTTAACCTCCAGCTGTGAGGAGGAGGCAGCCGGGAGGTCCAGGGGCCCAGGTCGGGAGGTCGGGAGGTCGGGAGGGCAGGGGAGACCTCCAGCACCCTGACTCGCAGGGATACCAGCCACAGGCAGTTCGTCTACCTGCTCCCACCTCCCAGTTGTGGATAAGGAAACAGGTTCAGGTCAGGGTGTAGCCAAGTGGAGTTGAAATCCAGGGCTATCCAGCCGCGAAGCCCGGCGGCCTGGCACCCAGGGGTGCCCTGGAAGGGGCGGGGATGGGGATGGGGGGTGCCCACGGCCACTCTGGCTCAGCTTCTCCAAAACTAGAGCCTTAGGAGGGGGCATGAACCCCTGAAATCCTAAGCAGACGTCATGAGTGGGCTTCGTCCTGGGATGCTAAGAACTGCTTGAAGATTTTGGTTCTGCCACTTCAGCTCTGGGGCGCAGATGGGGGTCTAACTCAGTGACTGCTTCCGGAGAAAGGTGAAGCAGTGGCCTCTTCAGAGAGGTCAGGTGGAGGGGACAGGCCCTGACATCTGCGGGGTTAAACATGGGGCCTGTGTAGAACCTGTGTGGACCAGCTCTCCTCTCTGCCACCCACTTCTGTGGCCCCGAGCTACTCCCTTAGCTGCCTTCAGTAAAACGGGGGCAGCACAGGGCGCTCCCCGGAGCTGTCGAGAGGCCTGATGACCTGAGAGGAGCCCCACACAGTGCTGGGCGCGGTTTCTGCCCCAAAACCTTCTCAACGGAAAGGGGCAAAGAAAGGTAGCTGACCACATCCCCATTTCTCCAGTTCTTTCTGTTTGAATGACAGTGGGGGCCAGGAAGGCTAGGGATCCCTCTTTCCCACCTTTATCGGCAAATCAGGGGTGGGGGGGGCCTTCCCAAACAGGTGGCAAATGGCATTCGTGGGCTGGTCAGGTTCAGGTTTGTAAAACCACGAGGGGTCATGTTGAAATGGAATAAGTAGGTGAGCAAACCTTGGGCTTGCAGAGCTGAAAATCGTTCTGTTCGTCTGGAGTGTGTGATGTGAACTGGGAGGGGAAGGGATCAGACAGGCAGGGGTGAGGTCAGACCCAGAGGCCCTGAGAGTCCAGGCGGGAAGGACTTGCCCGAGGTGTGGTGTGGGAAGGTCCCCCTGGCTACCGACCGAGGGCCGGGCAGGGAGGCCGGTCCCCAGGCTGGGGAAGATGTCCAGGTGAGAGATGTGAGACCCCCGGTGGGGACTGGAGAGGGGCCGCTGGCAGGAGGCATAAGAGGGACAGAGATGCACAAGGGCAGCCTCGCTGTGCCTGGCACATAGCAGGTGCTCAGTAAACGCGAATGGCCGCGCTGAGTGACTGAACATGAGAGAGGGGAGTCCTTTGAGCTCTTGTCTGTTCCTGGAGAGGGGGTCCCGCATGGAATGGGCACCTCTTCCCCTCACAGGCCCCTGACCTGCTGCCTGCCTCAGTTTCCCCCATGCAACTCTGGGAAAGGCACTCCAGGTTCTTCTCCAAGTCCTGGGGACCCAGGGAACAGCGCCGTGTCCTGTCACAAACAGGGTCAGGGGAGCCTGGAGAGCACTTCACGCCGGCTGGCCCTCTGGAATGCATTGCAGCGCTCATTTGGAGAGGAATTCACTGTTAAAGATTAATTCAGATCTCTTAAGATACACCAAGCCCCACAGTTGCCACTCTGAACTCTGAGTACGAGGTTCTGTCTGGCTTTCACCAAGCAGGGGCTGCATTAGTGGTCATGACGACAGTAGCGAGCATTTATTTATTGAGCACTTACTATGTGCCACACACTGAGTCAAATACCCTTCGTACATGTGGATACAAACTACAATTGTACCCATTTTTGAGAGGGAGGAACTGAGGTCTGAGCAGTGAAGTTGCTTGCCCAGGGTCTCTTAGCTGGGAAGGGGCAGAGCCGGGACGGAGCTCCATTTCAAAATCCACGCCCTTTACTTCGGAGCTGACCTGTCCCCATTTGTCTGGGTCTGCAGTCACGTGGAAAGCACTCTGCAGTACAGAGATAAGAACCTGAACTGTTCAGACAGGGTCTCAATCCCTGGGCCCGCTCCACCCTCACCCCAGGCACTCAGGCAAGGGACCTGGCCTCTCCGAGCCTCATTTTCCTCAATCTGTCGCGTGGGCTCTCTGTTCCAGAGATCACCATCTTCTTCCTCCTCCTGTCTGCTGACCTGTTCCAGGGTGTGTTCTCCTCCAGCTTGTCCCTAGGGTGTCCCCTGAGAGCCCCTCCATGCTAGGGGGTGCGTAGAAGGTGGCAGGGGCAAAGCTAGGCTTGTGTTGGGAAAAAGGCCGACGCCTGTTCGGCCACGCAATATTTACGGGCGTCAGCTAAGTGCCAGGAGCCGTCAGCGTTTCCTACTTTCCTGATTTAATGCTGAAGAACTAAGGCCGGGGCCTGGCTCTCCGCCAGTTCCTTCTCTCCCGGGACCTCAGTTTCCTCACCTGTAAAATCAGGACGATGATGGTGCCTGCCTTGTGAGGTGGTTGCGGACTGCCTTCAGCGCAATTGACTGTTTCATTCACAACCTATGTCCAGTGCCTCTGTTCGCTTAGATGGTGTCGTAGCCTCGTCTCCCCTGGAGGTGGGCAGGGGCAGGGAGGTGGATTCCCACTTACATCTGAGAAAACAGACTCAGAAGCAGCTTGCCCAGGCATGCGCATGGCAGAGCTGGACAGGAAGCCAGATCCAAGTGGCTCTGGCCCCCTCAGGTCCCTAAAAAGTCCAGTGACTGGCTTAGCATCCTTCCTGGAAAGCCACCTTGGACGCACCCCTCTTGGAGTCTGTCCCACCTCAGTTCACATCTCAGTTCTGCCGCTCGCTGCTGTGTGACCTCAGGAAGGGGCCTAACCTCTCTGTTTCTGACCTTGGGTTTGCTGGAAGTTGGAGCTTTGCCAGAGTGAGGGGGATTTGGGGTATTCCAGCTGCCACTCCTGCCCTGGCCGGGGTACCCCTTGTCTTGGGTGCCCTCGGGTCCCAGGGGCTGACACCCTGACTGGCAGGAACAGTGAAGGGAGGCCAGGCCCTTACGTCCATTGTGGCTCTGACTTCCTTCCTGCCTGGGAGCCCTTTCCGACCATTGGCTTCTCCTTTCTGCCCCAAGCCCGGGTCACTATTGGCTGTGTGACCCCCAAGGAGCAGATTTCCTCATCGGTGAGGGTGGGTCACAAAGACCATGCCAGGGGCACAGGAGCACCCCCCACACACACACACAAATGCTCACACGGTCGCTCCAGATGAGGTCAGTGGACAGGAAAGGCCCCAGAAGGAGGTGGGGCAGGAGGTGGTGATGACAGGCGGGCGGTTGACCAAATGGGAGTACTCTCCTTTTTCTTGGGGGTGAGTAACGGCCGCCCTGCCCACCCCCCGCCCCGCCGGCCCCCACACAAAGGGCTGCTCAGTCTCACCAGGCGTCTGTTTTTCCTGAGGGTGGAGTGGCCTGGGTCACACCCGGCCGACCAGGAGGGCTGGCCACCTTCTGGGAAGCTCCGCGTGTGTATGTGTGTGCATGGAGGGGACACTTCCAGCATCCACGCCAGATGGGGCCCACGGACTTGGGGGAGACCCCGGCGGGCAAGGGGCCAACTGACCTCAGGCAGGACCTGTTGGCCTGGGTCGTGTGTCTCCCTTGGCCCGGAGGGGAGGCTGGGAAACAGACGTGGAGGAAGGAAAGGAAGGAAGGAAAGGAAGGGAGGAAGGAAGGAGAAGCTGAACAGACAGATCACCAGGCAGGGGTGTCAAAAAAACCACCTGCTCGTATTCAGACCCTGGCTCCGAGACTGAATGAACTTGGGCAAGTGTCCTGGCCTCTCTGAGCCTCAGTTTCCTCATCTGCAGAAATGGACTCATGATAGGTGTTGTTCTTTTTGCATGGGGCATGGGTGGCGTGTTGGCTTTCATAGTAGGTGCTCAATAAATCACCTGTGAGAAGGTGGGAGGGGGAGTCAGCCAGTTAGTCGGGTAGAGGTCTGGCTTGGAGGTCTGTCTGCCCCGTCGAGGATGACTGAGCTTCTCTTTGCCTGGTTTTATTCGTGTCCACGAGTTCCTTTGCTCACTCACCCAGTCACTGGTTTGGTCACTCGTCAGGTATGTCTTGAGCATCTGCTCTCAAGGCCTTGAGCATCAGGCCTTGTTCTAGGTACAGGGACTCGGGGATGACCGGAGGAGCTCGTGTCCAGGTTTCCATCGTTCCGCACGCAGTCCTTTGAGGCTGATGTCCACAGTGACCAAGAGGCGGGTGCTTCAGTTCACTCCCTTTAAAAATAAGGAAACAGGCTCAGAGAGGTGAGGAAATCTTCCTGGGGTCACACAGCTACTAAGTGGCAAAGCCAAGATTTGAACTCCACACCTGTCTGCCTGTGGCATCTCTGCCCCTCCCCACCGTGCCAGCTGTCCAGTGAGCTCCGAGGACTGTGACGTTTAGCAGGGTGGCCCCAGAAAGAGGGCTTCATAGACCCCGAAGGCATGAACTCAAATGGGTTTAAAACCAGGTGCTTGGAATCCTGGCCACTTTCCCTTCCTGCTGAGCTGTGACCTCTGCTGGGTCTCTTGGTCTCTGTGAGCCTCAGTTTGCTCATCTG